GCCCCACCCTGCGTGAGCTTGTCGATGAGGTTGCGCGCCGTGTTGAGCTGCCCCAGCGCGAGCTTGTAGTGGTCCCTGTCGTACAGCACGTTGAGCAGGTCCCCGTAAAAGGGGTGGATGTCCTCCACCTTGGGGAAGTCGTCCAGGATCTGCGTGAGCTTGTCGTGCCACGTCGACTGCGAGTGCTTGACCTGCACAGGCCAGGGGGCAAGGGACGCATGTTCAAGGTGGAGAGCGCACAGCAGCGGCCCACGGAGCGTGCTCAGACGTCCTGATGTGTTGCTGCACCCTGTGGGCACTGTGCAAGGGCTGCAAGAGGTGCGCGGACGGGCAGCGTAGAGGCCGGCAGCGCGCCGGCAGCGGCAGTGCCGCCGCCTGCAGCCGTCCCTGACGGTGGCGCGCCGCGGGCTGCCAGCCGCGAGCCTGCTGCGTCCTAATGGCTTGTAAAAACTCCTGACTATCTACTTCAAGAGCATAAGTCCTTCGTGGGCGCTCCAGGCGGCTGCACACCCGCCCAGCGCCTCATATGGCCACCCTCACAGGCCACCACGGCAGTCGTATATGGCCGTATATTACCTTACGCATGTAAAACGACCGGATGCGCGTGATCTGCCAGCCATTATGGCAGACAGTGGGCGTCTGTCGCTGCGTCTTGCTCAGCACGATATCTATGAAATCCTTGCCCGAAGGCACCGCCTGGATCGACTTGAAATTGTAGGTCGGCATGCTTGCTGCGGGGCCTCGACACGGGCACCGCTGTGGGCAAGCTGTGCTGTAAGCGCGCTGCCGGACGCGCGTACAATTATCAACAAAAGGGGAGAGGCAACGGAGGGGTCCAGCCCAAAGGCGGTGAGACGGAGCACCAGAAACGCGAAGGCGCCCGCCCAGCCGCCGCCATCAGTGCACACGCAATATCGCGCCCTTGTGCCATGCTTGGCCGTCACGCTGGTTATCCTCATCTGCAGCAGGGTCCTGGAACTGCTTGTACGATGGCAGCAGCAGCAGTGGGCGCATCCTGCCAAGCACGCACTTGCCCCCCAAATGTCGCCGCCTGCAGCTGGATGGGTCACAACCGCCCCTTTGTGCGTGCGCCCGACAGCAAGCACACGCCACGCTGCTCAAGACATGCCATCAAAAGATCGTGACAATAGCACAGAAACACACGGCTGCTCATGCTTCTTGATCAGCTGCGCCACCGCCCGTGCCCTTCTGCCGGCCCTGCGCCACCCAATGCATAGAAGCTGGTGCTGCCCCAGGCCACCGCGCAGCCCAATGTAGTGACCGCGAGGACCCCAGAAGTGAGGGCTTCAGAACGCAGGAGCCTTACACTCAAGGAGGCGCTCACAATGTCCCGGGGATCAAAACCCCAAACGAGGCATGGGTGCCAACGATGATGCGGTCCGCGCCCGCCGCACGTCCGCGACTGCCAGGGTGCGCGCCAAGCTGCTGCCACGCTGCCGATTGCGCGCGCCACCCCTAGCCCACCACTGCTGCTGCTGCTGCTGCTGCCGCCAGAGCTGCAGGCAAGGGAAAGCAATAGATTTCAACCAGTTAAGGAGCATGCCTCAGCCATAGGCCCGTTGGTCTGCGCAAACACCAATCGCTCGCCACCAATTCCATGGGCTTCCCGTATCACCCGTTACTGCATGCCCCTGCCGTCCCCAGGCCGCCCCCTGCCGCACGCCAGGCCTCCCCGCAGCCGCGCCCACCTGGCCGCATTCCCCGCGCCTACTCGTCGTCCTCGCCCTCGTTCTCCGCGATGTTGAAGTAGCGGAGCTCGTAGACGGAGCGGTCCTTGTTGGAGGCGATGACGCGCAGCCAGTCGCGCACGTTGTGCTTCTTGAGGAACTTCTTGGTCAGGTACTTGACGTACCGCTTGGACATGTGCGCCTCGCTGGTCACGGTCACCTTGGACTTGTCATGGGACACCTGGTGTCGCGGGGTGACACAGCAGTGCGCCAGGTGGGCCAATCCTGCCGCCAGCGCAAGGAAGTGCAGCCAACACCAAGCTGCCACAAGGGCCTGTGGCATCATCCACACACCGAGGGCCAGCAAACGCCGCCAGCCTGCGCGCTCAGGCAGCGCCACAGCCACAAGCTGCGCGAGTTTGGCACGGGGGAGGGGGGCAAGCCGGCTGCGCTGCTGGGCCTGGACTCGGTCCTGGGCTGGGATCCCCCTGCTGGCGCGCAGCCCCTCACCTTGACGCTGTCCCCCAGCACGCCGGTCTTGCCGTTGACCTTGATCTTGTCGGCCAGGAACTTCTCAAACGACGCGATCTCCATGATGGAGTCACCCACGGGCTTGCTGCGGTGGTGAGCACAACCGGCGGCCGGTGGGGGCGCGTTGGGCATCAACTAGGCAGCACCAAAGGGGCGCCCTGCATGCTTCAGGCAGGCGTGTCGGAACACCTGCTGCTGGGCAACTAGTGCCGTGCTTTGCGGATGCACCCAGGTACGGGTGCTGTTGCACTTGTTGCCTGCCGTGAGCGTCATGACTGTGCTGCAACAAAACCACACTGTTGGCTTAGCCTGCCATACGACTGCGACCAAATCTGCTGCTGGGGCTGGGCTTCTAAGCAAGTGCACCTGCTCATGTTGCTACCGCCGCTATCCCTGCTGTGCAGCTGCCAGTAGCAACTGCAGCTGCTCGTTGCAACTGCAGCTGCTCGTATTGTCCTGAAGCCGCTGCTGCTGCCGCTGCAGCTGCTGCCGTCTTGCTCTGCCTGCTGACACCACACTGACACAGTGGTGACCACCTGCCTGCCATCAATACCAGGCAAGCCTGTGCCTCTGCTGATGCTGCAGCAGCACCAGCGCTCAAGAGCATGCGTACACATGCCAGCTCAATACAGCCTATCAATTGCGAGCAAGCCTCGCCTGCTCCCAGCCGTTCCCACTGTTCACCTGCAGTCCACCACGAAAGACAGCGCCTTCTTCTTGGGGGCGGCGCCCTTGGCAGGCTTGGCGATCGCCATTGTGGCTGCCTGGGTCCCCTGCAGAAGTGATGGCGACGTAGGCGATGCAGCACATCAGCTGGTGCATCGCAGCAGCGGCTCTCGTTTGCTGGTGGCTGGTGCGGCAGGACAGCCCTGTAGCTGCTCAAGCATACGACGATGCTTTTTGAAGACGAACAAGAGCCTGAACGGACTCTGCTTGTCACTCGCTGCCTTGGCCGCCGCGGTCTGGGGCGAGCCAGGACGGTGATAAGGCTGTTAAATCACACATTTATTGCATTGTCAAGCTGCACTTGTGAGCTGTAGCGGACGGCTCATGCTGATTGAGCGCCACCGCATCAGCTGAGGCTGCGTGCTCCAGAGGGCGTTTCCTCGCACCTTGCGCTACTGGTATGCAAGAGGAAAGAGGCAGGTGAGTCGGACGCGCCGAGACTTGGTGCAAGCCGAACACTGTCTCTTCGGCTGCCGCCGCTTTTGCGCGCTGGTTTGCACTTGTGGGGTGCGGTGGTGGTGGCTAAAATAGGTGAAGCCGGAAAATGCATCAGACAATTTGGTTGCGCACTTGTGCAGCCCGGTTGACACACAATCGCTCCAGCCTACACCCACACCTCTGTGAGCGTGGCCAGGTTCGTTCGTTCAACTGCTGCGCGTATGCAGTCGGGGTGTAAGGGGTGGGCACAGCAACACATTGACAGCCAGGTGGTTCTCACCAACTGCCAGCAGCTTCCAAACATACCTGATTGCAGCACTGGCTGAATAGATTGCCCTGCTAATCTACATCGCGCACGGTACTTCGCGCAGGCACAGGGGCCTAGCCGCTGGCAACTGACTATGGACAGGATGCACGGAAACCACCTATGCAGAGAAATCCCCGCCAGCGACAAATACACTCTAGTTCAAGGCACTCATAGATGCTGGTGCATGAGGGGTGGGATGTCAGCATACCAAGGTCCCCGTCACACCTGGTGCAGCAGCCAGGGCTGCGCCTTGCATCGTGTGCAGCCCAACACAACCAGTTTTCAACTTCACTACGGCAACCACAGCCGATGCCAGCTGCAGCGCGGCTGCATCAAGCCTTGCGACGGCCGCCTGAGGGGCCCTTGGTTGGCAGCACAGCCGCTTCTTTGCCGCCAGGCGTCAGGGCCGCATGCGTCGCTAGTACCCTTATATTTCAGGGCTGTCGGACTATCTGATGCTTGGCCCAGCCCGGCGGCGTGGCCACTGCGCACCCAACCATGTGCGTGGCAGTTGCGTTTTTGTTCGATTTGTGCGCGGGGAAAAGCATGGAAATGGTGGTTATGGCAGCATCAGCAACTCAGCGAATAAAGCAAGACATACAGGTTTGCCTCATGGCCACACCACAAATCATCATATGCAAGCCATGCATCAAACAAACGCCTCCGCGCATCACCCGCAGTGCACTCGCAGCGCTCACGCAACCCACGCCGCTACCGGTATGTGCCTGGTCTTGGGTCGTCCTCATCAGCTGACCATCTATTTGATGCTGTATCTTCTCATCATGATGTTCAGCTGATATGATATCGTGCTGGTGAAGATCATGTTGGTTCGGCACACCGGTGCATAAGGAGATGGCTAGATATATGTAGAGCCCGGTATTTTGACGGCACAGAACCAATTCTTGATGAGGGCGCTGGCAATGGACCCCTGGCGATCGCCGCGAGCGCGGCACGTAAGCGGTAGCCATCCTGCTCGTGCTGGACGGGCAGCGCCGCCCGCAGTCCCTCATTCACAGCCACCACATGTCTCCCGCTGGTGCGCACCTGTGCACCTGTGTGCTTGTACATTTGTGCCAGCAAGCGGCAACCCCTCGCACCACACGTGAACGCCATGGACTGCATGATTGGCGTTCCTGGAGGTGTATTTGACGCTGCATGGCCATGGGCGCGCTGCTGCCGGTGTGTACGGCACACTGGCAGGCGCTGATTTCGTCGATTCAATCATCTGACAACCGCGTGACAGGCCGGTCTTTGGGCAGCCCTCCTGCACCGCTCTGAGTCTTGGGGCCAGTGCGCACGCACGAGGGGCGTCACCCCGGGTGCCCCTCGCGCTGAGCGGCAGCAGCAGGCTCGGCGCCGCCCCGGCCGGCCCCGCGGGCCGCGCGTCCCCCAGCCCAGCCAGCAGCAGTGACGAGCCCGCACGCAACAGCAACGGCGGTGACGGGCACGGCGCCGGCGCCGGCGCCGCGGCGCCGGCGCTGCAGCCGTCGGGGGCAGCGGCGGAGGTGGCGGTGGCGGGCGGCAGCGGCGGCCCTGACCCCTTGGACCGCGAAATCATGGCCATCGCCTTGCCCATGCTGTGAGCTGGGGGTGGGGGAGCTTTGAGGGTCAGATGGGGGGAAGACGGCGCCGGCGGCGGCAGCGCTCTCGGTGGGGCAGGAGACGAGTGGCGTACCACAGGCTACAGGCGCGCTGGTGATGGCGTCGGTCGCGGCTGTCATGTCGGCAGGTCGGGGCGGCGGCTGCGCTGGATTTCCGGGAGGCGTCAGCCTTTAGTGTGCGCGCAGCGGCCCTGTTGCTGTTCCAACAAGGCTCGTGCGCCGCGCGGCCCCGCGTTGCCCCAGGGCCACCCTTGCGGCGGAGCCGTTGGCGTCACTGGTGGACACCGCCTTTGTGGGTGAGCGCGGGCTGTCCCCGTCACCCGCCAACCCCCCCTTACCACCTGCCCTGTGTGGCAGCCCTTCCACCGCCCCACTCCGATCACACCAGCCGTACCCTCCCGACACACACACACTTGGACACTTGCGCCCAAACCCCCACCCCCCGCGCGCGCTTGCTCACATGACGCCCGCGGCCCCTGGTCCCCCCCCCTCATGCAGGCCGCCTGGGCGCCGCGCAGCTAGCGGGGGTGGGTGTGGCCCTGAGCGTGTACAACACGGTGACTAAGCTGGTGCAGGTGCCGCTGCTCAGCATAGCCACCACCACAGTGGCCGCCGCCAAGGGGGCAGGCGGGGGAGCAAGCGCGGGCGCGAGCGCCGGAGCAAGCGCGGGCGCGGCCGAGGCGGCCGAGGCGGCGGCCGCCGCGGGCGACGGCGCGGCGGGCGGCGGGGGCGGGTCTGCTGAGGTGTCGTCTGCGGCGTCCGCGGCGCTGCTGGTGGCGGCCGCGGTGGGGGTGGCGGTCGCGGCGCTGCTGCTCGCCTGCGCTCCGGGGCTGGCGTCGCTGTGGGGGATCGGGCCGGAGTCGCCGCTGCGGCAGCCGGCGCTGGACTTCCTGACGCTGCGGGCGGTGGGGGCGCCCATCAGTGTCGTGCTGCTGGTAGCGCAGGTAAGGGCCCCAGGGGGGGGGGTGCTGCTGAGGCC